AAAATGGAGACGGCGAGGAGGAAGGGAGCGGGGAAAGAGAGGGAGGTGGGAAGGGGGCAAGAGGAGAGATGGAGAGAATGGAGACCGACAGGTTTTAGCAAGAGGGCCTCAGGCGAGAGCGCGGCTCATGATTAAGTTTTAGGGATGTCCCGAACGAGATCGCGATTCTGAGCGAAACATGCAACACATTTCCAGGCGAGAACACGATGTTTCTACACACCGCAAGGAAGTATCGAGCGAGAGCGCGGTTCTGCAATGTGTCTTCGTATGTACATATATGCATATACAAATATTCATTGTGATATTGCTGTAAACATACATACATAGTGTGAGGCAGTATCAGGCGCAAACCGTTGTTGATGCAGTTCAGGTGCCAACAACGCAGTTTGGAGACCCAAGACTTTTCTTCGGAAAGAGCACGGAGTGCGAGCCCCAGGCGGGACACTTCACCTAGCATGTAGCACTTGGCATAATACCACGCCTCACTTCGCCAGAGGGCACGGTGGTGGATATCGGCTACTTGTTCATAATCTCATGCGTATGATCATCAATATCGAGGATGTGCCAGGCGAAACGCCCGACCCGCCCCACCGACACGTCTGTTGGTGTGATGAGGCGAAAGTGTTCATAAAGGGAAGATGTACGGGGAGGACGAGCAGGGTATGACGGCGACGACTAGGACGAGGGCCATATCCAGGTCCAGTTGGGCGTTGCTTGCGCGGCTCGGCCACGCTCACAACCCAGGGCTCCGTCGCACATAGTCCTGGGGGTTCGAAATTTGAAGTTTTCGGGCGCTTCCGTCGGTTCGACAGTTTTTCAGCCTCGCGATGCCTCGCTTCGCCGAGAGCGTTCTGGGGGTGCCTGGATCGTCCCGAAGGGCCAAGTTATGACCCGAAAACCCGCCACAGGGGCCTCGCCCCTCCCATCCCCATTCCTCTCTACCTGCTATACTCCAGGCCTCCCAAGTTGACTCCGAGTAGATGGGGTCAGAGGATCACGCCGCATCGCCGATGCATCAGCCGTTCGGCTTCATGCCGAGCCCGATGTTCTTCACGCCGACGGCGCCGGTGCATTGCTGAAATCGCTGCCGCATCGCCGATGCATCGGCGATGCGGCGCGATCCTCCGACCTCATCTGCTCGGACCCCATCTGGGAGGCCTAGACTATCGATCCTCGACCGATCCTCAATGCTCGACCGATCCTCGATCCTCTATCGCTCCTCTGGCCTCGAGCGATCCTCGATCGATCCTCCGACCCCACCTGCTCGGGCCCCGCTCGGGAGGCCTCCACATGCCCGCCCCGCCCACCCCGCCCACCCCGCCCCGGGCCCCGCCTGGCGCTTCCCTGCCTCGGCTCGTCGACGCGTGCTCGCGTCTGGCCCCTCCCCTCGCTTCTGCTGCGGCACGCCGCGGGGCGCACCCGCGGCGCCAGCGGCGACGGCCGACTCTCAGCAGAGGTCGGCGACAGCAAAGGGTACGGCTGCGCCAAAGGGTACGGGGGCCGTTGGGGGCCTGGGGGGTACGACTCTGTCCTCGTCGGGCCGCCTCGGGGCGCGGCGGGGAGCTCTATCCAGATCCCCGCCCGCCCCCCAGGGTACCCCCAAGAGTGTTGGTTGCAAACCACATCCTGTGCCAATCACACCCTTCGGAGTCGCCCAAGAAGGAAGGGAGGCGGAGGGGAATCGAAGAGGACCAAATGCATGCTGCACATGCAAATACAAAATGTCTGAGGTCCACGCGGACCTTCGACAGATTTACGTGCTCCGTTTTCACTTCCTCGAGAGCAGTGGCAGCGACGATGGTGGATGCTCGTCAGAACGTGTTTTAGCCCAATGTGTATTTTCCCTGCTTAGCTCCAACGAATCCACGCAGCCTGTGTCGGCCCCACTGGCACCGCCTCGTATGTGCAGAAAGGCTTCGGTACATGAGCACCTCGTCGCTAACACCCGTTCTGAAGATCATCGAAACGACTGGGCGCAACATCGCGCCTCTGAGGGAAGCTGGGCGTGCTCCCTCCTCCAGTACCCTTCTGTTGGGCCACATCCCTCCAGGCCTCCCGCCAGGCCTCCTCTTCCTCCTCGGCCCGAGGTGGCCTTGCCGTGCGCGCCTGCGACGCTGATCGTGCGAGCGTTTGTTGGCGATGAGGAAGTGGATATCGAACACGTTGCATCTCACCCTGACCAGCCCTTAGAGCAGGAGACGGCTCCGCCACAACCAGTGCGCTCGAGGAGCTTCGTAGGGCGTGATGCGCGGTGGTGCAGCGGGGGGGGCAGGATCGCTCGCAAGCTCCTGGGCTCGCTCACCTCTCAGCTCCCTCCCTCATCCCATGCTGCTGAGCTCCAGGCTGTGTACTCATGTGCTGAGGGATGGGGGATTAGTGTGGTCTGCTGTTTAGAACTCTTAAGGCAGCGACATGCCACGTAGATAGGGTTCAGTTTCATCATGGTAACCGAACAACGTGGGGCCTTGGTGAAAATATCTGCGACAGATGGCCACAGAGTCCTCAAGACGGTTGCCAATCTTATCGATGGTGAGAACAGGTTCTGGACGGACACGTACAAAGCTCAACACCGTTTGTGTTGCGTTGCGCGTACCAGATGCTTACAGTAGGCAGGAGCCGAAAGGATGCAAACAACGTTGATGAGGTCGATGTTGCAGCTTGATGGGAAACTGTTTGCGTAACAGTATTCTGGAGACCTGGAACGTTTTTGTCTAGTATGTTTCGGACTGGTGATGCTATGGCCAAGACGAGGCGACGGACAGGATGCAGTGGTAAATTCTGCGACTCGTTGTTGCCCTCAATACGACATTGTTGTGGAGTGCCTGCGGTTTTGTGGCGTTAAATATTGCATGCATTTTGAGTTATGTTCTCCCACCTTCTGGACTTCTCTTCCGAGAGTTTCGGCCACGAATGGGTGATCACGTTCGCAGCCGCAGTGGTTGTCCAAGACCGTTTCCGAATGTTGATCGGATTTTGTTCAATGGGCATTGGTATGGTGAGCCCGTGCTCAGATTAATTTCTTTATGGTGTGGCTCCTCTTCCGCGTGCAGGAGCTCGTCGTGGTTTGAAGTGATTACCAGCTGGGGACCTACCACATCGTCAGGGTTTTCCACTTCACCATTATCTCTCTCTCTCTCTTTCTCTCTCTCTCTCTCTCCATTTTTTTTTTTCTCTCTCTCTCTCTCTCTCTATATCCCCCTTTCTCGTCTGGAGCTGAATGTAGTGACGGGGACTAGAGGTACATAGGAGACAATGCGGTTGTGTTGGCAGTTTCTGCGCGCGGCGTCGCGTGCACCCCTAGTCCAGCGTGGTCAGATGCTGGGGGCATCGTCGCCGTGTGCGGCGCGGCGACCTCTCGTGCAGAGCGACGGCCAAGGCCAAGTCACAACAGGACGTCTCAGACGACCTTCAGGCGGAGGGTGAGTGGCGGGTCGTCGTCAATGCGTGGGCCGACGAGTCAGCAAAGGCAGCACTCAGCCTGTGGCCGCGATTGGCCCAAAAGGAGGTGCGCCTGGAGGATGCTTCCTCGGAGGCAGGGCGCGGTTTGACAAACCTTGGGCGCGTGTTGGCGCCTGGGCCTGCTCCCAAAGTCGAGTGGTCCCGCTTGCCGCCGCGCGAGCGTCCCCCAGCGACCGCGAGACCGCGCTCTCTGCAGCACGATCTGCACGTGGTGGCCGACTGCCGTTGGCGGGCCGCTCGGTTTTTGCACGGCTTTCCTCAGTTGGAAGGCCAGGATGGCCCCGGGACACCACGGGACACCATGGGACACTTGTCGATCTCACTATCGATCTCATTCAACGGGACACCACGGGCCACCACGGGCCACCACGGGCGCGTGGCGCCCAGAAGCACGCACACGCGCACGTCTTGTGGGGTGCGGTGATCGGCCCTCAGGGCACGCCGCCAGAGCAGGGAGATTTTGAGACGTGCTGCGCGCAGCGTGCGCAGCACGCCCGGCTGCAGCCGCGCGGGCAGGCACAGAAGTGTCCAGCTCAGCGCCGGGGTCGTCTCCCTGACGGGATGGAGCACGGCCCAGGGCGCCTCTGCGGCTGGCCCGCTCGGCGTCCGCAGGCAGGGCACAGCAAAAAAGCTTCGCGAGCCCGGTTGCCTTCCTTCCTGCCTCTCTTTTTTTTTTCTCTGTGTGTCTCCCTCTCTCTCTCTCTCTCTCTCTCTTCCCGTCCACTCTTCTCCCCTCGCCGCCCACCAAACCACCCCAACCCAACCCGAAGGCTTCAATTTGCCCTCCATTTCCAGGGGTGGGTCGGGGAGCATCGGAAACACACAGATGGAACCCGTACCCCCCCCAACCCGAAATTCGGGTTTTCGGGTTTGGTTGGGGTGGTCTGGTAGGTAGTCATCCCCGTCCCTCCTCTCCTCTCCATCCTCCTCTCCCCATCCACCATCCTCCCTCCTTTTGCCTCCCCTCCCGAATCCTGTTCCTCCCTATGAGCACCTCCTTCCCTCACCCCTTCCTCCCCTAACATCCCCCCTTCTCTTCTCCTGCCTTGCGTGCCTGCTGCCGCCGCGTGTGGAAGAGGCAATGCTCGTCATTCCGACGGAGTCCTCGTTTCCCTTCGAGAAGGTGCTCGAGGACCGTATGTGCATGCGCACCCGCTTGCGTCCGCGATCTATGTAATGCTGCAGGGGAGACAGCGAGAAGGTGGTGATTAGGAGACGGCGGAAGCAAAGATGTGTCAGGAGGGAAGGAGGAGGTGAGAGGATCGAGCGCGCAGGTTGCGTTGGACCGGCCGTCGAGTTATGAGCACGTTATTATCGTTCTCAGGCGACGTACCATTCGTTATCTTGTTCCCGCCAGAAGGAGGGCAAGGAAGAAGGAGGCGGCTCGTCATGAGAAGCAACGCAGCATGCTCGATCGATGGCTCTCGGCTGGGCCGCCGGTGGGCCGCCGGAGCAGGAGATCGCCGAGAACAGGAACGTGGACGGCTACGTCGGACTGGTGTTGGAGCGGCCGCTGGCGTCCTGAGCGCAGCAGGGCCAGGCCCGTCGCCTCGACGTGACGGGCTTATCCGTGTCCAGGCCTGACAAGTGGGTTGGATAGAGAGAGGGGGATTCGACATGTCCGTCGGAGATTTTCCTTCAACCAAATATTCCAATTTAAAGTTTTCCTTCGATCCACGCCGTGGTGGGATATCGCATCTGGCGGAGTTTGCGATTTCTGCTGGGGCCGAGCGGTTGAAAAGGTTCGTTGCTGCACTTGCTTCGCATTGGCGGATAGGCCAGACAGGAGCAGGGAGGCCGCTTTGCTCTCCACAGTATGTTTTCATTTGAAACGTTTTCGCGGTCACGGCCCTCCTCCCCCTGTTTTATTTCCCCCCTGCCCCTCCTCCCTTCTCCTCCCTCCTGCCCTCAAGCTTCCCTCAGTTTACTGGTCCCGTTCACTTCATAAAGAAGGTCAGTCGAGAGAAATAGTGGGTTATATACATATATAGAGAAAGGAGGGAGGGAGGGAGAGAGCGGGAGAGAGAGAGAGAGAGAGAGAGAGAGCGAGAGAATGAACGAGAGAGAGAGAGAGAGCGAGACAGAGACATAGACAGAGAGAAGAAGAGAGAGAGAGAGAGAGAGAGAGTGAAAAAGGAAAGACACTTACAGAGGGGAAAAACCAGAGTGAGAGAGAGAGAGAGAGTAGCAGCAAGAAACATACAACGAGAGAGAGAGGGAAACTACAACAAAAAAGAGGGAGAGAAAGAGAGAGAGAGAGAGAGAAGAGGAGGAGGAGGAGGAAGAGGAGGAGGAGGAGGACAGGAGGAGAGAGGGGGAGGAGGGAGGGGGAAGTTGAGGTTAGAGGAGGGGGACCATCTTTCGGAGGGCAGATGTGCGGCTTGCCTCCGAAGCCGCCCTGGACACGACGTCGCAGGAGCTCCGGGGATGCCAGCGTGCAAGGGGCACTGGGCACAAAGCAGCTGGAGCAGCAGAAGCAGGAGAAGGGCTGGAGGGCTCATGAGGAGGGGAGGCAGCAGCAGCAGCAGCAGAACACAAGAGGAATAGGAGCAACAGCAGCAAGGAGGAGGAGGAGGAGGAGGAGGAGGAGGAGGAGGAGGAGGAGGAAGGGAGGAGGAGGAGGAGGAGGAGGAGGAGGAGGAGGAGGAAGGGAGGAGGAGGAGGAGGAGAAGCAGCAGCAGCAGAGCAGCGGCAGCGAGAAGGGCGACGACGAGGAGCAGAGGCAGGGCGAGAAGGGGCGCGTGGAGGCGCAGCCAGCGGGCAGCACGCGCGGCCGCCCGTCGCCGGAGCCCCCCGCCGGCCTCGCCGCGAGGGATGGCGAGGTCTCGCTGTTTGGCCGGCCGGAATCTGGCAGTGATCTGGCGGGGCGGGGGCAGGGATCCCTCCGTTCCAGGGCGCTCTGAAGCGCGCTCAGAGCGTCTCGGAAGTCTCTGAGAAGGCCGCGGCGTCGGAGAAATCCTGCAGAGCCGCCGGATAGCATTCGGGCGTTTTTGGACGTCGACTCGCTACCCCGATGTGCGCTGCGCACGTGGAGTGCACCTGGCAGCTTTCACTGACGGGCGTTTTGCCAGAGGGGGCCCTGTCCACCTTTGCCGAACGTCGTCCAGGGGGGCTTCAGCGAGGGGGGGGGAGCCGATCGAGAGGGCGAGGTGTTCGGGCGTTGTGCGTCGGTTCTCGGCCGTTTTCTCCAGCCTCGGGGTGCTATCCAGCAGCTGCGCCGCGCCGAGAGCGCACCCGGGGTGCCAGGATCTGTCCGAACGGCCGCCAGGTAGCCGAGTTGTGCCCCGCAAGCCAGTGTCTCCAGGGCTCCCCGAAAGGTCCGAGCAGATGGGCTCGGTGGATCGCGCCGCATCGCCGATGCATCGCCGAGGCGGCTCGGTGCGGAGCCCGATGTCCCCCCCGCAGACGGCGCCGATGCAGCGCCGACGCGTCGCCGATGCAGCGGCGATGCGGCGCGATCCTGCGGCCCCATGCCTGCTCGGACCCCCTCCGGGAGGCCTCTGGAGCTCTGCGCCCCGGAAGCCCGCGTCGGCCAGCCGCCGCCACCGACGCACCGCCTGCCTGGCGGGGGCCGCCGCCGCCGCGGCGCGGGGCGCCGCCGTGCCGCGGCCACCCGCGGCGCGGCGCGCGGCGTGGCTCGCGGCCTCGGGGCCGCCGCCGCCCGCGTCGGGCCGCTGCGAGTCGACGGTCGTCACGAACGAAAGGGGTACGGAGAGACTGCGCGCCCCTCGGCCGCCCGGGCCCCCCTCCTGCCGAAGCGATGCGGATGGGTACGGGAAGCAGGGATGCGAAAAGCGACAGCAGTCGGCTGCGCGTACGAGTGACCCCAGGTTCCGCGCGCTTCCCAACGAATCCCGTGCATGATCCAGGCTAGAAGTTAAGCGCGCGCGAAGCGCGCGCATGGTTCCAGCATGTGCATGTGCATATATATATATATATATAGAGAGAGATATACACAACTAGGTATACACGTTTGACAAACTTGATGTGCACACGCGCATCCTCAAGAACCGCCGAATCTGACAGATCCCCGATGGTCCTCCCAGTCCGATTTCGACCCCGTCCTGGCCTCGTCTCAGGCGCCCCTGCGGTGGGCCCCTGGCGGCCGGCGGGCCGCCGCGGCGTGCGCCGCCGCCGCGCGGGGCGGCCTGCCGCCGCGGCCGCCCGCGGGGCGGCTCGCGGCCGGGCGCGCCGCGGGGGCGCTGCGAGCGCGCGCGGCGGGCCGGCGGGCGGTTCCCGGGCAGGCGGGGCGCCGCTCCTCCCTGCTCCTCCCTGCTCCTCGCGCCTCCTCGCTCCTCGCTCCTCCTCGCTCCTCCTGGCTCCTCGTTTAGATGCGTCCGTGCAAGAGTCCTCGCTCCTCCTCGCTCCTCGCTCCTCCTCGCTCCTCGCTCCTCCTCGCTCCTCCTCGCTCCTCCTCGCTCCTCCTCGCTCCTCCCCGCTCCTCGCTCCTCCTCGCTCCTCCTCGCTCCTCGTTTAGAGGTGTCCGTGGAAGACTTCTCTCCCTCAGAGGCGGCCCAGGAGGCCATGGACTGGGTGCAGCGGTACATCATCCTGGCGGCGCGCGCAAGGGGGGCGCGCGCAAGGGGGGGCCCCCCGCGGGGGGCCGAGGGGGGGCGGCCTCCGAAGAGGCCCGGGGCTTTTCGGAAAGCGGGGGCCTTCTCAGAGGCGCCCAGGTGGTTCTCAGATGGCTCCTCGGAAGCCAGAGGGGCTTCTGAGAAGGCACCTGCCGCTCTAAGAGCACCCCCCCGACCTCTTAGCTGGCCGCCCACCAAGGCCCCCGACGTCGTGGTGGGGGCGTGGCGTGGACCCCCGGAGGCCCGGAGCCCCCTTCCCGGCACTGGTGTTTATGCCGAGCCGTGTTTTGACGGTCCCGAGGCCCGGTAAGGGTCCTCGGGGGCCGAAAACTAAATACGTAGAACCCCGCATCTGCGGACAAGAGTGCGGTGGCGGCGGCGTGGGCGAAAGCATTGCCCCTATGCGTTGCCCTTAGGTGTTGCTCCCATGGACTGTCCTCCAGTGTCGCTGGCAGAGGTTGAGCTCTCCATCCAGCGAATCGCGCGCAGGGAAGAAGTAAGACCCCTTGGCCCCTGTAACTCTACCTCTTTGCATACATAATTCAAAACAGCTAGGATGGCATGCCAGGCCAAAGCACCGCGGATCTACTCTGAAATAATATGGTTTAAATTCCTTGTTTTGTGTCATGCCCTGTGTCCACCGCACGGGTGAAACTCGACAACCCAGTTAAAACATGTCACGGCGATGACGTTGTGTTGGTGGTCGTGCTGGTGGTTGCGCTGGGGGGTTGTGTTGAGGCGTTGTGTTGTGCTGCGGGGGTTGTGCTGGGGGGTTGTGCTGGGGATATGTGCTGGGGGGGTTGTGCGGTGGGGTTGTGCTGGGGGGGCTGCTGGCGGGGGTGTTGGAGGGTTGTGCTGGGGTGTTGTGTTGGGGGATTGTGGTGGGGTGTTGTGATGGGTGGTTGTGTCGGGGGGGGGGGCTGGGGGGTGCAGCGTGTCCCGAAGGCGTTTTCCTACTCGTTCCCAATACGTTTCGGGGACGTCTTTTCCGAAGCTCTTTCGGAGTTCTTCCTGGGCTTCTGCGAAGCTTCATTCCTCGAGCTTGCAAGCTTCCCAGACGCCCTTTCCAGCGTCCTTGCTAGCGTCTCCCACAGGCGTTTCACACGCTTTGGACTGTCATGATCGGGATTTTGGACGCCAGTCGAACAACCAGCACAACCCCCCAGCAACCCCCCCCCAGCACAACCCGCCAGCACAACCCCCCAGCACAACCCCCCATCACAACCCCCAGGCACAGCCCCCCAGCACAAGCCCCTGGCACAATCCCCAGCATAACCCCCCAGCAACTCCCCAGCACAACCCCCCAGCACAATCCCACCGCGCAAACCCCCAGCACAGCCCCCCAGCACAACACCCGGCATAACCCCCCTGCACAGCCCCCGTCACGACCCCCCAGAACACCCCCCAAGCACAACCCCCTATCACAACCCCCAGCACAACCCACCGCACAAACCCCTAGCACAACCCCCCAGCACAATCCCCCAGCATCATCCCCCGGCACAACCCACTGGCACAACCCCCAGCGTAACCCCCCAGCACAACTCCCCCAGGCACAACCCCTCAGCACAACCCCACCGCGCAACCCCCCAGCACAACTCCCCGGCACATCAACATCCCCCCAGCACAGCCCCCCAAGCACAATCCCCCAGCACCGCGCAACCCACCGCACAAACCCCCAGCACAACCCCCCAGCACGAACCCCCGCACAACCTCACACAACACCCCAGCACAACCCACCAGCACAACCCCCAGCAACCCCCCCAGCACAACTTTCCAGCACAGCCCCACAGAACAACACCTCCAGCACAACCCCCTGACATAACCCCCCCCGCACGCCCCGCCAGCACAACCCCCCAGCACAACCCCTAGGCACAACCCCCCAGCGACCCCCCCAGCACGACCCCACCGCGCAACCCGTTACTTAGCACTACCCCACAGCATAACCACAAGCACAATTCCACAGCATAACCCCCCAGCACAATCCCCCAGCACAACACCCCAGCACAACACCCCAGCACAACACCCCAGGACAACCCACCAGCACAACCCCCCAGCACGACCCCCTGTCGCAACCTCCCAGGCGCAGCCCCCAGCACAACCCACCAGCACAAACCCAGCACAACCCCCAGCACATTCCCCGAGCACCTCCTCCCAGCACACACCCCCCAGCACTAACCCCCAGCACAACCCCCCAGCACAACCCCTCAGCACAACTCCTCAGCACAACCCCCCAAGCACAACTCCCAGCACAAATCCCCGACACCCCCCCAGCACAACCCCCCAGCAGAACCCCCCAGCACAACCCCCCAGCGCAACCCCACAGCACAACCCCACAGCACAACCCCTCCGCAAGCCCCCAGCACGACCCAGCACAACACCCGGCACAACCCCTGGCACAGCCCCCAAGCACAACACCCCAGCACAACCCCCCAGCAGCACCCCCCCCAGCAAAATTCCCCGAGCAGGCCCCGAACACAACCCTCCAGTACATCCCGCAGCACAGACCCCTACAGCACAACCCCAAGCACAACCCAGCATTACCTCCCAGCACACACACACCCAGCACAACGCCACAGCACACCCCACTAGCACGACCCCCTAGCACAACCCCCCAGCACAGCCCCCCAAGCACAACCACCCTGCACCCCCCCAGCACAACCTGCAGCACAACCCCCCAGCACAACCCCCCAGCACAACACCTCAGCACAACCCCCCAGCACAACCCCCGTCACAGCCCCCCAGCACAACACCACAGCACAACACCCCGGCACAACCCCCCCAGCACAACCCCCAGCACAACCACCCAGCACAACCCCCCTAGCACAACCCCCCAGCACAACCCCCCAGCACGACCCCCCAGCACAACTTCCCCAGCTCAATCTTCCAGCACAACTCCAGGCAGAACCCCCCAAGCACAACCCCCCAGCACAACCCCCAAACACAACCGCTCAACACAAAACCCTAGCACGACCCCGGGCACAACCCCCAGCACAACCGCACCGCACAACCTCCCAGCACAGCTCCCCAGCAACCCCCCCAACACAGCCCCCCAGTGCAACCCCCCAGCACACCCCCAAGTACAAACCCCCAGCACGCACAACCCCCGAACCTGGCACAACCCCCAGAGACCCCCACGCAGCACAATTCCCCAGCACAACTCCCAGCACAACCACCTGGCAGAATCCCCTCTGCACAACCCCCCAGCACAACCCCCCAGCACAACCCCCCAGCACTACCCCCAGCACAACCCCCCAGCAACCCGCCCCCCAGCACAACCCCACCGCCCCCTCGTCCCCGCACAACCCCCCAGCACAACATCCCCAGCACAACCCCCCCAGGCACAACCCCCAGCACAACCCCCCAGCACAACCCCCAGCACACCCCCAGCAAACACCCCCAGCCAGCCACAACCCCCCAGCACAACCCCCCAGCACAACCCCCCAGCACAACCCCCCAACACAACCCCCCAGCGCAACCCCCAGCACAACCCCCCAGCACAAACCCCCAGCACAACCCCCAAGCACAACCCCCCAGCCCAGCATAACTTCCCAGCACACCCCCACCAGCACAACCCCACAGCACGGCCCTATAGCACCACCCCCTGGCACAACCCGCCAGCACAACCCCCGAGCACAAACCACCAGCACACCTCCAGCACAACCCTCAGCACAACTCCCCAGCACAATCCCCAGCACCGTCCCCCAGCACAACCTTGCACAACCCCCCAGCACAACACCCCAGCATAAACCCCCCAGCACAACCCCAGCAGCACAACTCCCCAGCACAACCCCCAGCACAACCACGAGCCCCAGCGCGACTCCCGGCACAGCTCCCCAGAACAAAGAACAACCCCCCAGCACAAACCCGATCACAACCCCCTTCAGCCCAACCCCCCAGCACAACCCCACCGCACAACCCCCCAGCACAACCCCACAGCACAACCCCTTTCAGCCCAACCCCCCAGCACAACCCCCCCGCCCACCCCCCAACACAACCCCCCAGCATAACCCCCCCAGCACAACCACCCAGCACAACCACCCAGCACAACCCTCAGCACAATTCCCCAGCACAACTCCCAGGCACAACCCCCCAGCACAAGCCCCCAGCACAACCCCCCATCGCATCCTCCAGCACAACCCCCGAGCTCAACCCCCCAGCGTGACTCCCCGGCACAAACCCCCAGCACAACCCCCCAGCACAAGCGCGCAGCACAACCCCGCAGCACAACCCCCCAGCACTACCCCTCAGCACAACCCTTCATCACAACCCCGCAGCACAAGCCCCCAGCATAACCCCCCACGACCAGCTGCACAACCCCCAGAACGACCGCCCAGCACGTCCGAAGTGATTCGTGGCTCGTGGCCTTGAGTGGTTACAAGCCGCATCGTGGCTCCGTCTCTTGTTCTCTAAATTACTAGTTTTGTTATTTGCCCGTGTCGGGGCTACGATATCTACGCGACAACCTAGAATCTCACATTCAAAGTCTTAGTTTATGAGTTCTTTGTAGATGCACATGTTTCGAAACACCATAGCCCGCTGAACATTTGTCATCACCCGCCTTCTTAGCAGGCCGCCCCCCTCGCGACAACCCATGCCCACATATCCTTTGACCTGATGTTCGTCAAGCCGCGGCCCCAGAGGTCCCGACCGTTTTTTCCTGGGGTAAGCTCTCGTCATTGACATATGGGAGGGCCGAAAACTGGGCCCCCAGGGGCCGAAATCTGGGAGGGTCGCCTGGTTTGAAGACGTCATTATACGGGCGTTACGCAATGGGGGTGGCGATAAACCTGAGGTTGAAGAAGGGTGCGCTTTTTGTGCCCACAGGGACACCCTGGGACCCAACATGGGCACGAAAGATGCTCGTTTCTCGCTCCCACACGCATCGCCCCCGCTATCCAGCAGCGCCCGCAGTATCGTCGGAGTTCTGGCCCCGTGGCGTGCCGCACGCCATCGGCGGCGGCTAGACTGCCCCCTGGGCCACATACGTCGTGCTGCACATCGCTGCCCTTCCTGGCCCCCAGCCGAAAAAGCATAGTCGTCGGAGACCCGGCTCGGCGGCGAGCCCTGGGGGGAAGTGAGACGGGGCGCGCGGGCCTTCTCAGAAGGCTCGGAAGCTCCCCGGCCTTCTGAGAAGTTCTCTGAGCCTTCCCCGAGGACGCAGAACGCTTTTTCAGGAGGCCAGAGGGCTTCTGAGAAGTCCCGCCGCCTTCTGAGAAGGCCTTCTCCGTCTCCCTTCCCCCCCATAGCTCGCTGCCGACTGGCCCCGTGGCGCGCCACCAGCCGTCGGCGGCGACTTCTGCCCCTGGGCCGCGCGCTCGGCGGCCCGCGGGCGCCTGCACTGCGAGGAGTTCCTGGGCGCCCGCGCCTCCGAGGCGGCGGCCCGCGTGGGCGCCGCGGCCCAGCGGCTCGCGGCCGCGGGCCCTGGGGAGCTGCACACCGCCCTGGTCGTGTGCCCTCGGGTGCCGGACCCGAGCTCGCGGGCGAAGTCTGTCAGTCGGCGGCGAGCTGCGGGGGGGGGAAGTGGGAAGGAGAAGGCCGTCTCAGAGGGCGGCGGGGCTTCTCAGAAGCCCTCGCGCTTTCCTGAGAGCTGTGCGGCTTCTTCGGGGGGAGGTTGAAACACTTTTTCGGAAGGCCGGAGTCTTCGGGGCGCAAGAGACGGGGGTCAATGCAAATGGGGGTCAGTCAGAGCGCCGGATCGCGCAGGATGTTGCAGCATCCTGCAAGGCCCGACTGACCGAGTTTGGATTGACCCGGGTCAGTAGATCTGTCCGGCACGGGGACGGAACGCGCGTGTACCTCTTGAGGGCGCGAGGTCGTTGGGTTAGTGTCTGCGAGCCCTCCTGGTGTTAAGGCTTTGGTGCGACATACAAACATTGTAACACGCCTTGCAAAAACCAAACATGTTGCATTTCTGGGCCTTCCAGGGGGTCCTTTTGGGACTCTCTTGGGCGGTCTTGGGGCCCTCTTGGGCCGTCCTTGGGTCCTTTTGGCCCTCCGTGGCCCTGTTGGGGATCTCCTGTCGTCCTCTTGGGACTCTCTTGGGAACCTTTCCGGACCCTCAGGGGCCTCTCTTGGGCCGTTTTGGGGCTCTCTGGGCCCGTCTAAGGCCCATTTGGGCCTTTTTGGAGCCCAATTGAAAAACAAAGTAACGAGTACGTTAAACATGTGCGTGTTCTGCCGGGAATGAAACGATGATTGCTTGGGGGGGCTCCTGTGGTGGGCCTCTTGGAGAGTCTTGAGGACCGTCTTGAGACCATCTTCGGCTCTCTTGGAGCGGTCTTGGGCCGTCTTCGAATGCTTTGGAGACTCCCGGGGGCCGTCGTGGAGGTATGTGAGGCCATCGTGGGGGCCTCTTGGGCCGTCTTGGGGGTCTCTTGAGCACTCCTGGGGCTAATTTGGCCCGTCTTGGGCCGAAAATGCCAGAACATTGGGGCCACTTGGAGCCTCCTTGGGCCGACTTCGAGCCATCTCTGGGGCCTCATGCGCCGTCTTGGGGCGGTCTGGGGGCCTCCGGGACTGTCTTTGACGCCGTGAAAACAAATGAAGAATCCATGCTGACAAATAATGTTTTCTTTAGGGAGCGTGACGATTTTTGCATTTTGGGGCTCCTCTGGGGTGCCTCTTTGAGCATCTGGAGGACCTCGTTTGGCCGTCTTGAGGTCATTTGAGGCACTCTTGGAGCGGTCTTGTGCCGTCTTCGAGCCCTCTTGGGACTCCCGGAGCCGTCGTGGAGGTATGTGGGGCCATCGTGGGGGCCTCTAGGGCCGTCTTGCAGGTCTCTTGGGCGTCTTGGGGAAATGACGGAAAATTGGGGCTAGTAGACTTGGCCCGGCACAGAAACGGAAAGAGCGCTTCAGAAAGAGAAACCGAAAGTACTCACACCACAGTTCGTACCGGGAGCCTTGGCGTTAAGAGCTTGTGACGTCACCCCTCGCTCTTGGGAGCCTTGGTGTTCAGAGACTGTTGCGTTGCCGCCCGTTCCTGAGCTTTGGCTGGGCCTTGGTGTCAGGAACTTGTTACGTCGCCGCTCCCTGCTGGGAGCCTGAGTCTTATCAGCTTGTTTACGTCACCGTTCGCTCTGGGGAGCCTTGTTGTGAAGAGCTTTTGGCATTGCCGATCGCTCTTGGCGTCTCTGGGCCTTCTTGGGAGTCCTATTGGGGCCCTTTTCGGGCCTCTTGGGGGCCTCCTGGGGGCCTCTTGGGGCTTCGTGGGGGTCTGTGGGGGCCTCCCAGGAGCGTCTTTGGGCAAAAGGCTAGACTTTCGGGTTCGTGGTCCCCCTCTTGGTGCCGTCTTGGGGCCCTCTTTGGCCGTCTTGGGCGCCTCTTGGGCCGTCTGGGGGCCCTCCTGGGCCGTTTTGGAGGGCTTTTGGGAGCCTCTTGGGCCGTCTTGGGGCGGTCTTGGGGGCCTCTTGGGCCGTCGTCAACGCCGTGAAAGCCGAAAAGCCGTGTATGCTAAAAATGTACGTTTTCGCATAGAATATCTATGAGTTTAGGCTCCTGTTGGCATCGTTGGACGCCTCTTGGGGGCCGGGGCTTCTTGGGTGGCTGTGGGGACGTCCCGGGAGCGTCTTGGGACGATAGGCTAAACTTTGCGGTTCGTGGTCCCCCCCTCGGGGCCGTCTTGGGGCCCTCTTGGCCCGTCTTGGGCGCCTCTTTGGCCGTCTGGGGGCCCTCTTGGGCCGTTTTGGGGGCCTCTTGGGAGCTTCTTGGGCCGTCTTGGGGCGGTCTTGGAGGCCTCTTGGGCCGTCGTCAACGCCGTGAAAGGCGAAAAGCCGTAGATGCTAAACATATAAGTTCCGTATGAAAATCAATGAGTTTGGCTCTTGGGGCCCTCTAGAGACGTCCCTTGGGCGCCTCTTGGGGGCATCTTGGGAGCCTCTTGGGCCGTCTTGGGCGGTCTTGGGCGGTCTTGGGCTCTCCTGGGACGGAAAATAGGTGAAACCCGAAAAACATGCAAAACAACCAAGGGAAAACCCTCAAAACGGCCATTAATACTCATTCGTGCGCGGTACGCACCCCCATTGGAACCCCCTTTAAGGGCCTTCGCCCACACCAGAACGTCATCGCTCGTACCTCGCTCTTTCCGTTACCTGGCCCAGCACAGAAACGGAAAGAGCGTTTCAGAAAGAGAAACAAAAAGTACTCACACCACCGTTCGTATTGGGAGCCTTGGCGTTGAGAGCTTGTTACGTCACCCCTCGCTCTTGGGAGCCTTGGTGTTCAGAGATTGTTGCGTTGCCGCCCGTTCCTGAGCTTTGGCTGGGCCTTGGTGTCAGGAACTTGTTACGTCACCGCTCTCTGCTGTGAGCCTGAGTCTTATCAGCTTGTTTACGTCACCGTTCTCTCTGGGGAGCCTTGGTGTGAAGAGCTTTTTGCGTTACCGATCGCTCTTTATTTGGCGTCTCTGGGCCTTCTTGGGGGTCCTAATGCGGCCCTTTTCGGGCCCGGCCTCTTGGGGCTTCTTGGGGGGCTCTTGGGGCCTCCTGGGAGCTTCTTGGGGCGAAAGGCTAGACTTTTCGGTTCGTGGTCCCCCTCTTGAGCCGTCTTGGGGCCCTCTTGGGCCGTCTTGGGCGCCTCTTGGGCCGTCTGGGGGCCCTCTTGGGCCGTTTTGGCGGCCTCTTGGGACCCTCTTGGGCCGTCTTGGGGCGAACTTGGGGGCCTCTCGGACCGTCTTCAACGCCGTGAGAACCGAAAAGCCGTGCATGCTGCATGCTAAAAATGCACGTTTTCCGGTAACGACTCTGTGATTTGGGTCTCTTTGGGGCCTCTTGGGACGCCTCTTGGGGGCCTCTTGGGGCTTCTTGAGGGGCTCTTGGGGCCGGCTAGACTTTTCGGTTCGTGGTCCCCCTCTTGGGGCCGTCTTGGGGCCCTCTTGTGCCCGTCTTGGGCGCCTCTGTGGCTGTCTTAGGGCCCTCTTGGGCCGTTTTTGGTGCCTCTTGGGAGCCTATTGGGCCGTCTTGGGGCGGTCTTGGGGGCCTCTTGGGCCGTCGTCAACGCCGTGAAAGCCGAGAAGCCGCATATGCTAAAAATCTACGTTTTCTTTTAAGATGTCCATGATTTGGGCCTCTTGGGGCCCTCTTGGGGAGCCTCTTGGGGGCCTCTTGGGGCTTCTTGGGGGGCTCTTGGGGCCTCCTGGGAGGTTCTTGGGGCGAAAGGCTAGACTTTTCGGTTCGTGGTCCCCCTCTTGGGGCCCTCTTGAGCCGTCTTGGGCGCCTCTTGGGCCGTCTTGGGGCCCTCTTGGGCCGTTTGGGGGGCCTCCTGGGAGCCTCTTGGGCCGTCTTGGGGCGGTCTTGGGGGCCTCTTGGACCGCCTTCAACGCCGTGAAAGCCGAAAAACCGTGTATGCTAAAAATGTTCGTTTTCCGGTAACAAATCAATGATTTTGGCCTCTTGGGGGCCTCTTGGGGTGCTTCTTGGGCGCCTCTCGGGGCGTCTCGGAAGCCTCTTAGGCCGTCTTTGGGCCGTCTTGGGCATGTTGGACCGCCTTGGAGCCGTCTTGGACCCTTCTTGGACCGTCTTGAGCGCCCAAGACGGCCCAAGAAGCGCCAGAGGCCTCCAAGACGCCCCGAGCGGTCATTAGGTCCCATCCCTCCGCCCCTCCCCCCCCCTGCACTCCCCCTAGAGGGCTTCGCCCAAACACAACGTCATCACTCGTACCTCGCTCTTTCCGTTACCTGCTTGACACGGGGACGGAAAGCGCATTTATTTTCAGAGCGCGAGATGTCGTTGGCTTGCCCGTTCTTTCTCTCCGTCTCCCCGTCTGGAGGCCCCTTTGGGGCATCTTGGTGGCCTATTGGGCGCCCTATACGGCGATCTAGAAGCCGCAGGAGTCTTCTTAAGGGGGAAATAGGGCGTGTTGGTATCTTGGGAAGGCACTAGGCGTGACAAAACACGAATGACGATTATGATAATACTGCTGATGATGATGATGATGATGATGATGATGATGATGATGATGATGATGATGATGATGATGATGACGACGTACTGTCTCTTCGGAGCATCTTGGGCCTCTCTCGGGCTGGACGAAAGGAGGGGATTGGGGAAGGGCGGCGCCCGGAGGCGCTGGGAAAATCAGCTACGTGAGCTGATTCTCAACCCCCCCTTTGCTATCCCCCCCTTTCGCCCGACCCGACTCTCCCAGGCCCTTCTTGGGCCGTCTTGTGGCCCTCTTAGGCCGTCTTTGGGCTCTTTGGGGCCGTCCTCAGGCCCTCTTGGGAGCCTCTCGGACCCGCTTGGGAGCCTCTTGGGTCCCTCTTGGGGGTCTCTTGGGGCCCTCTCGGGCGCCAAGAGAGCGCTCTTGCGCCCTCTTGGAGCCCTCTTGGGCTCCTCTTGGGCCCCTCATTGGGCAGTCTTGGGCGCTTCTTGTGCCGTCTTGGGTGCCTCTTGGGCCGTCTCGGGGGGGGGGGCTGGCCATTGGACCTGAGCGCGAATTCCCCTGTTAACGGTCTGTTAACAGGGAAAAGCGCGTCCGTCACCCGAGTCAGGAGGAGGCCATCCGACAAACGATCGGGCAGAGCAGTTTCAATCAACGCGCGTGGAAAGAAGCAGTGTTGAGGTACTGTTTAAATTGACATGAATTTTATCACATGTTTTAGGGTATGCTGCATACTGCTCTGAATTTTTACCCCGGTTTCCCCCCGCCCGCCTGCCCTCCAGGTGGTGTCGTCGTCCCCTCTTCCGCCGTCCTGCGTCGCTCCTCTGCCTGCTCTCTCCCCCCTGCTCGTCCCTCGGGCGGTCGCCCGGGCTTCGCCCTCCTCTCCTCTTTCCGGCGTCGTGTCGCTCGCTCTCCTCCCTCCCCCGGCTCCGGGTTCGTCCTGGCCCCCGGGTGTCGTTCCTTCCTCTGCCTCCTGCTGCCGCTGCTCTCCCGGGTCGTCCACCGAGTGGGGTTTTTTGGCGGGTCGGGTACGGAAGCGTAGACCTTTAGAGAGTCCCTGCGCATGGAGCCGGAGCCGGCGACGATGGCTATGCTTTGCTTCTCGCATTGTCGACGCCAGCGTCATGCTGTATATACTCATGCATGCGATCTGCAACCAATGTGCCGTCTAGGCACGGTTCACTTGGCTTGACTTGACTTGACTTGTCACCCGATTTTCCTTGTTAAGGGCTCCGTTAACAGGGAAAAGGGTGCCCGAGCGCGAAACTTTGTTAAGCACCCGATTCTCCTTGTTAAGGGCTCCGTTAACCAAGAAAAGGGGTGCCCGAGCGTGCAATTTCCTTATTAACGGTCCGTTAACAGGGAAACGGGCGGGCCAGTAAAGCACCCGATTTTCCATGTTAAGGGCTCCGTTGACAGGGAAAAGGGCGGGCCAGTAGACCCTGCAGTGCAGATGCCACCCCCCTCAAACTCCCCCTAGTTTCATTTCTTCCGACTAACGGATCGCACGCTACGCGCGCTTTCCGTCATCCCCGAAGTCTGTCCAGGCCCAGGGCGTTTCGCACAGGGGTGCGATCAACAAGGGGGCAGCGAGGGCTTCCTATAAGAGGCCCTTAAAGACCCCTAGTGAGGCCCTGTGGGGCCCAAATGGGGTCCTTCAGGGCCCGAAAAGTGCACCTGTCTCACCTCCCGTGTGTCGCCCCCCTCATTAAGCGACGCCCAAGCCCGTCCAGGCCTCCCAGCGCCGCATCGCCGATGCATCGGCGGTGCGGCTCGATGTGAAGCCCGATTTTCTCAACACCAGCGTCGCCGATGCATCGCCGACGTCGCCGATGCATCGACGATGCATCGCCGTTTGGGCGTGTCCGTGCGTTTCTTCGCGGCTCCAGGTTTTCGGGCCTTTCCTTCGGTTCTCGGCGGCTGTCAAGCCTCAGAATGGTCTCCAGCGGCAGCGCCTCGCCGAAAGCTTTTGGGGGGCGCCCAGATCGTCCCGGACGGCCGCCAGAGAGCCGAGCTATGACCCGAAAACCCGGGGAGTCAGGGGAGGAACAGCATGCCGATGCCGCTGCCCTTCCTCGTTTTCGCCTCGTTGGGCCTCCTGGAGAGCCGAGTTATGACCCGAAAACCAGGGGAGTCAGGGGAGGAACAGCATGCCGATGCCGCTGCCCTTCCTCGTTTGTCCGCCTTCGAAGTGCTGGTCAGGACGCACCCCAGGAGAGGTATACACTCTAGGCGATGCTTAAGACCACCCAAGTTTTCGGCCAGAGTCTCGATTATTCTTAATTTTTAATGTAAATCCCAAGATTTGAATAGACATTCTGGGCTTTTACTCAAAATCTGAGACTATGAATTTCTTAACCCATGATTTCTTAAGCATTTCGCAGGGTGTACGTGGAAGCAGCGGCAGGGCTACACACCGCCCTGAGCGTGAGCCCCCTGGTACCGGCTTCACGGCATGGCATGATCTGGACAGGTTCCCCAGGGCTTCCAAGCGGGATCCAAGTAGATGGGGTCGAAGGGTCGCGCCGCATCGCCGATGCGTCGGCGATGCATCCGCGAGGCATCGGCGACGTATCCACGAGGCATCGGCGATCCTCCGTCCCCGTCTGCTTCATTCGTGGGGGCCCTGCTTGCCGGGCGGCTCCGCAGATCCAGGTCGAGGAACCTGCATGTGGCCGAGGCTAGCCGTGGCCATAAGAATAGGTTCGTCTCTTAATCTGCGCTCTTTCCGTGTCTGCACGATGGCTTACCGATCTTCGTCCGCCATCAGGACTGGGAGGACTTCGACGTCTTCGACGCCTACGTGCAAGCCTGGAACCGCGGCCGGCCCTTCCCGGCGGGCACGCGGGGGGGCACGGCCGTGGTGCCCTGCGAGGGCCTCACGGACGACCAGCGGCAGCGCATGTCGGAGGAGGGCCAGCCGAGGCAACGGCGTGGCCCTCCGTGTCTTCTCGTCGCCACTGCCTGCTCCGCCTCCAAGAACGGGTCTGGATAGTTGGCCCCCCGGGAGGGTCGGGCGGGACTAGGACGATGATGTATCTGTTCCAGGGATCTCCCTAGCGCTCTCAGAGCGTTCCAGGACGCTCCGAGGAGGCCGCGGCGCCCGATACATCTTCCAGAGCCGCGGGGTCTCAGAGATTCGCGACGTATCCTCGTCGGAAGTTGTCCTCGTCCAGGCCTCGTCTTAGAGGGGTCCGGAGGCCATTTCCGAGCGGGCCTGGGCCGGGCAGAGGAGCCCCAGTCGTCCGCCGACCTGTGTTTTTCAATGCGCGGTCCCAGAGCTCCCGCCCTCGTCCTTGCTGGGATCCGTTTTTGATGGCCTATGCCCAGGTCCCTTCGGCCGAAATCAAGGAAAAACGCTAGTAGTGAATCAAGGGCAACGAAAGGGGGGTGCATGGACCCCCAATCGCCCATGAATCGCCAATGGGGGCCCGATTGCCCCAACCCGCCCAAAGGAAGGTGCGGATTCACTATCGGACGCGCATGGCTGATCTATCGGCGATGTATCGCCGATCCCAGGTTGATGCATCCCCCCTATGCCAGTCCCCCCCCCCTATCGTTGCCCCTGAGTGAACAAAGTCAGATCGTCGGAGATTTGGGGCCACCGCTGCCTCAGCTGCTGGTCCTCCTCCGAGCGTGGCCGAGGCGGTCTCCGAGGCTCGCCGCGACTGCACGCTCGTGGCGTTCCACCCGCGGTTCGCGCGCTGGCTGCGGCCCGCGGGCGGCTTCCGGGTCGGCGACACCGTGCGCATCGACTTTTTGCAGAGGCGGGTCCTCCAGGACCCCACGTTCCCCGGCGAGCGGGTAGGAAAAAATCGCGTAGTACCAAATAATGGGAGCCGTGTCTGTCCTCGTACGTAATCCCGTCTTTGGAGTGTGCTATCCTGCGCTAGCGTCTGGTAATCGATGAGAAAACGCCGATGTTGCGTCGATTGAGCGTCGATGTGCGTCGGTCAGCGTCGTTTCGCAATTGTCAGCAAGATGGTACGGGAGGCTCCCATACAGTAGGCGCATCGGATCATCGAAGCGGTGAAAGCCGCGTGAACATACATTTTCTGAGTTCCGCGCCGATTCAGGAAATCCGCGCGGACCTCCGAAAGGAGATGTTTAGAGCCACGCAGCAGTGACGGACAGAAGTCTCGCGTTCCGCGGTGGCCTTGGGGCCCACAGAAGCCTGGGAGCAACTCAGGTCAAACCCAAGGCTCAACGGCCACCGTATCCTCATTATTTCGTGCAGCGAGATTTGTTGATCATGCGTATCTACTGCACATTCACACATCACATTCAGGACGTCAGCGCGGATTTCGTGGATCGCTGCTGGACCCCCCCCTGCCTGTCGCCGGGGAGCCCAGCGCCGATCCACGAAGTCCGCGCGGACCTCCGAGCGTTGCTGGTTTATGCAGCTGTCTCGTACTCGAGGCGAGCTGGCCGTGGTAGCAGACCCAGGGCTGGAGGATGTCGAGGTCGGCCCGCGCGAGGTGTGTGCGCAGCTGGTCGGCGGCAGCGGTGCGTCGAGCTGGGGCCTCGACTGCCTCGTCCCCACGCCGGCCGCGCTCCCGATCGCCGACAACGAGATGCACCGGCGAGCGACGCAGAACAAGCGGGGTCGTCTGCGCCGTCGTGAGCTCGCAGGCTGCCCGCATAAGCTCTCGCGCAGGCGCCCTCGTCCTCCTCCTCCTCCTCCTCCTCCTCCTCCTCCTCCTCCCTCTCCATCCATCCCTCCTCCTCCTCCTCCTCCTCTCCTCCTCCTCCTCCTCCTCCTCCTCCTCCTCCTCCCATTCCTCCTCCTCCTCCTCCTCCTCCTCCTCCTCCTCCTCCTCCTCCTCCTCCTCCTCCTGGTGGCCTCCCTTCAATGTGGCGTGCCGCGCTGGTGGCCCGCGGTAAGCCACTGCGTAAGGTCGTCGTGCCATCTCGCGTCAGACCCGTTTGTCTGATCGGCGCTCAGGTGTCCTCACGTCGCGCTGCACCTCCTCCGGAGGGCCGACCTGAGCGGCGAGGGCATCATCCAGGAGGCCAGCGCCATGCGGCTGAGGAACAGCAGGAAGTGCTCGTCTGCTGGCGGGGCCCTCGCGTCGGGAAAATCCTCCTGCCTCCTCGTCCGTCCTATCATTCCTCTGATCATCCCCCATCTATTCCATATGTCCTCATCTGTGTCCTCCTCCTCCTCCTCCTCCTCCTCCTCGTGGGAGGGAGCGCCTGACCGCACGGGGGCACTAAGGACGGCGTTTAGTTTGCCCCAACGAGGACCATCGTGCGGTCCTTCAGGCTTGCAGAGGGAAGGGAGAGGGACGGGAAGAAGACAGAGGTGGAGGAGGACCTTAGGATGAGGTGGATGGGTCGTGATGGCGATGAGAGGGAGGTGGAGGAGGAGGAGGAGGAAGAGGAGGAGGAGAAGAGGGAAGGAGGCAAGAAGGGAGGAAGGGTGCATGTTCTGATAGTTTTTTGAAGGAGGAGGTGACGTTCCAGTTCCAGGCGGCAGGGCTCCCCATCCGTCCTGAGGAGATGGTGAGAGATCTGGGGGCCATGACCACGGCTGGAAAACGTCGGCGCATTGTTAAAGGTAAGCAGCGTCAAGCTAAGGCTAGAAAAAAGGCGTCCAGGGTGAGGTACCTCACCACTTTGGTTGGTAGGGCCGGTCGGCTCTACAAGCCTGCGGTTCTTGCGGTGGGCTCCTGGGGACACGAGGTGTTTGGCTTGACGCCAGCGCAAATCCAGGCCATGCGTGGGCAGGCTGCGGTTTGCTCTGGATGGCGGGCCCCCGGGGCCTGCACCATTACGGTTCTGGGACTCCTTAGCCCCGCCAAGGATGACCCCCAGTTTAGGTTGCGGTACGAGCACTTGAATGGATGTGCTACCCTGTGGAACGGTCTTGAACACAAAAACGATTGCACATTTCTCGTACCTGGGCGTCGATTTTGAACAAGTTTTCTGTCACGCAGCACCGATGGCAGGTCGTTCGAGGCCCCATAGCGGCCACCATCGCAATGTTAAATGATTTACAGTGGGATCCTGTGCCACCAGTGTACTGGCGCGCTGGTACAGTTGAGCTTCGCACGACCGGCGCGGATTTCCCCTCTTGTCTCTGGCCCCTCTTGGAGGAGCCCTGCTCCTGGCAGCAAGCGGCGCATCATTGCATGTGGGCGGGACTTGAACAGGGGGTGGATTTCACAGCGGTCAAGAGAAGTTCTTAATAAGTTGTATGAGGATTGGGAGAAGGAGGCTGCAGGAATTTTGCGCAATGTACTCGTCGGCGCCTACTGAACGGAGTCCAGGATCAAGGATGCTGGATCTGTTTCTTCTACGTCGGGCTTGTGCCCGCGGTGCGGCGCCTCAGTTGAGTCTCCGCATCATCGCTTTTGGGGGTGCGATAGCAATCGGCTTGTTCCTGATCCGGTCGTGGATCGAACCGATCACCTGATCGATCGGGTGAGTGCTGAGCCTCGCCGTTCCTGTCGGCGGCGCCGCGGGCTCCCTCCTCTCGAGGACTCCCGCGGTCATTCGCCTGCTCCTGCGCGGCTTGTGCGGGAGCGGGGGGCGTCTCACTGGTGGGGGGAAGATCGACGGGGGGCGCCTGGGGCATAGACGGATCGGGGGGGGGAACGCACTTCGGACTGGCGCGTGCGCAGGTGTGGATGGGCCATTGTCCACGTAGGTGCCACAGGGCAGATCGACGGACTGCCCATGGGCATTTTGCCTACCAAAAAGCCGTCTTCCCCGTGGGCCGAGCTCTACGCTTCGATTACGCTGGCCAAGAATTCGCCTGGCGATTGTCGCATTTACTGCGCTTATCTTCGCGTGGTCCAGGG